AGCTGGCAAGTTTTTCCGCAAAATCTCCTGATTTTTTGGAAAAACTTGCCAGTCTAGACACAGCCAGATAGTTTTTATAGCATTTGGGTTAGGCAGATACCTGGGCCTAGCCTACACTAGAGAGGAAGGTTGCCCCAAGATACGCAACTCCAGCTGCGTTAACTGCACAGCTGGAGTTGACATATCTTAAATCGCCATCCACACAGTAGAAGGTCAACAGGAGCAAATGTTCCCATTGGCTTCCTTACTCCTCGTGAGGAACAGGAGTACCGGTGCCAACGGTGGCACCCTCTTAAGTTTGATTTTGCACGTCCTCACTAAATCAAACCCCGGAAAATCGACCATGGCAGCGTCGATCTTCCCTGTAGAATAGACATGCTCCTGATGTCTCCTGCAGGCAGATATTAACTAGTATGAATGCAGTTATGTAAGGTGTTAAGCTATCTGTCATGTTACTAAAGCCTGAACCTTGCTCCACCTTAGTCTAGCACCTTACTCTAGCTCTAGAACAAACATTTCTAAATTGTTGACTACTATTATCTCTAGCTCATAAAATTACTTGTTTATTTGTTTTCCCAGGTCGTGAGCCAGATTGCCCTGGATGGCAGATATTTTATATCCCTCAATGTATCCCCATAGACCCACCTAAAAAGAATTTATGTCGGTGACATCTTCCTACCTCTGTTTAATCATTTTGAATTCTGTTTAACTTTATCTTAGTGTGAAATTTGTTTTAATAGGTTTTTGTTGCATTTTGAGGTCAAGTAACTTTTAATCATTGGATCTATATGTACTAAAACCCTGTCTAGTAATTTAGTGATAACTTAGGGTACGTCTAGACTACCGCGTTTTGTCGACGGAAGTTTTGTCGACAGATACTGTCGACAAAACTTCCGTCAACAAAGAGCGTCCAGACACATGGAGTTCTGTCGACAAAGCAAGCCGCTTTGTCGACAGAACTCCGTAGTCTGGACGCAGTGTTACAGGCAATAACACCTTCTGTCGACAGAGTTCTGTCAACAGAAAGTGTTATGCCTCGTAAAATGAGGTATACCAGCGTCGACAAAACCGCGGAGTTCTGTCGACGTTATGTCGACAGAACGCCGCGGTAGTGTAGACGCTGATATTGTTTTGTCGACAAAAATCCACTTTTGTCAACAAAACTAGGTAGTCTAGACACACCCTTAGATTCACAGTTAGATAATCACATCACATCCTTCTGTAAATATGTTGTATAATGATGCCATAACAATTCTGAGTAACCTGCATGAGAAGCTATATTGCACATGCATGCCATATGGTTATGTTGTATATACTGGATGGATGTTCTTTATACTTCTAGATCTCAGCCATGAGAGGGCCCTCCCCAAAGTATTACATTAACAGAATAGACTCATCCTGCAAAAATTATTGTTAATCTTTGATTTTTTGGTAAGCATTTTTGGGTGAAAATGTATTTTCACAAACAGGACTGCTGACAAAGGTAAAGGGGGCATAGCCCCGGGGCCTGGCGATTCAAAGGGCCCTAGGTTCCCAGCCACTGCTACCACAGCAACCTGAGTCCTTTAAATCACCGTTGTCATGTTTCAGGGGCTGCCTGGAAGGTGTGGGGACCAGCACAGTGTGCGGTGGGCAGCGCTAAGGCTGGCTGCCACGAGCCCCACCCCTTCTGCCTGAAGCTCCGCCCCTTCCATAAGCACAGAACCAGTCCCTCCCCATCTTGTCTGGCAAGTCTGTCAGCCCCCCGTTCATAAAAAAACATTTTCTGTTCATGTAAATGAAGGTACAGCAGAAATAGCTCAACCCAGGCATAAAGTAGACAGATGCTTTACAATATTGACACACACACAGCTCTGAATGGCTCCTCAGATTGCAATTCCATGTATGATTCTAGTCCTTCATATGACTATCAATGCAAGGCACTCCTGAAGTGCACTCCCTGCATCCAAACATACCTATTACAAAAGTTAACATAAAGATGTTTCTTTTTCTGTCAAAGCAATGAGGCATTAGTGTTCAATTCAAGAAATTGCTTGACTTTTTTTAGAAAGAAAATCTGAGATCCCAGGATGGATGGCATGTTTAAAATAAACTTAATTTGCCACTAATCTGGCAGTGTTCTTTTAAGCATCCTACATGGGCAGTTTTTGCACACTGGCTTTGGAGTGTCTAGGGTTTTCAACTGAGCACTGTCACTGAATTAAAACCCTATTACATGGGTTCATCCAGTCTACTCTGATGTTGGCTCATTGGGCCATCAAGCTCTTGTGGCCAAATGGTGAATGATCGCTACAGCTGATTGGTTGGCTAAACGTTGAAGCTGAGAGACTGCCACTGAGGCTATGTCTACACTACAAAGTTTTTTTGGAAAAATGGCCATTTTTCCGAAAACACTTACGTCCACACTGCAATCGTGTTCTTTCGGGAAAAAAAATCAAAAGAACAGAGAGGGTTTTCCGACATTGGTAAATTACTTTCTAGGAGGAAGAAGCCTTATTCCAAAAGAGCTCTTTCGGAAAGATGCGTGTGTGGACGGAGATGAGGGAGTTCTTTCGAAAGAAGAGGAAAGAGGAAAAAGCACAGATGCCCTGGTGGCCACTCCGTCCATAGCAATCACAGCTGAAATGTGAGATAGCACTGCACCTTACCTCAAAACTTTAGAACACTAGGTTAATCTAAAGCAAAAACTCACACATTGTCAGGTTAAAAGCCCAAATCAGTCATTCGGCTGACTTGTAGTAATGATGAGGTCAGTGTTAATTCCAGCCAGTGGTACAGAAAGAGCAGCTGATTTTGTCAACCCTACCAAGCCATTTCTGAATGAACGCTTTCATTCTTCTGTACTCAATGATCATGACTTTGTGTTTTTTCCTGCTGCAGCACAAGAGTGAAAGCTTTAAACACAAGCTAGATAGACTGACAGTAAAAGAAGTTTGGCTTCCATTGTAGCGTCAGGAAAAGCATCCAATTGCAATTTACTGCAAGAATGGAGGTTTTGAGCACCGTCACCTCGCTAAAATTTAGTTTGGGTAATTACATTCTGCCTGACGTAATTCCCCGTGGAGTTCTCAATGGCAACGTTATTCTCCGCTGACTTATCTAATGGTTGGTTAGTTCTGTTGTGCACTGTTGTTATGAGTCACGCCAGAAGTTGCATCTTGTAAGGGCTGGGTGAAGTGATCCCTGGGTATATAATGTATGTATCAGTTTGGTAAACACATCGATATCCTTCAGGATAAAAGGTGCTCTGTGTAAGCTACTGTTATTTGTTGGGCAATCCACTTGGGGCTCCGAGAAATTAAACATGATTTTTCACTTGTGAGGCATTTCAGCAGTAGATAGTTTACAATTGTATCCAAAGGGAGTCACTGCTTTGTGATTCTTCTGTACTTGTGCCTAAAGCAAATCAGGCTAGATACATCCCTCATTCCACTCCATTGATGCCCCTGGGGGTGAATGTGGCCTATTGAAATTCATTACGCCTCATATGAGTGTCGTGTTTCACATGCAAGTATACAAGGTCTACTGATACATTTTCAACACCCCTCAAACACAGTGTAATGTTTAAGTCATTACATTTTTGCAAAGCTTTTTTTACTTACAGCTGTGTGATGGCAAATATGACACAATCAGAAACATACACATCTGGCTGTGTTTTCTTCTTTCTCGGCACTTTGCATCAGAGGAGTGTGCGGTCCCACGCCGACAGAAGCATTCTACAGTGAGAAACTGACACAGGGCCACAATGCGTTGGCAACTTACAAAATTCCTATTCCATTCACAAAGCCTTCTATAACTGCTGGAGTTGTAAGAGAAATGTAACAAGGCCAATTGCCAGTTTGTTTCTCCTGGGTGATTATTGAAGCTAAAGGGTGCAGTTCATATTTTAAGCAGAAAGGCATTATCCCGAATATTTTCAGGGAGCATAAAGTTTAACTGCATTTCATTTTACAACTAGATATGTAATGATGTATGAACCAGGGTAGGGGCCTCTTGGCCATATCAGTAGCATATTCTATGCTATGAGGTCAGATACAAAGGCTTTTACATATCTACAGACTCAGATTTCTGCTTTCATAGTATGGGACTTCCATTTATTTTCTGAGGGGAGACTTCATCTCCACCTCATTTATCTCACTGTTAATCTAGATACTAGACACATATAACCCAGCTCAAATAGATAGCTGCAGTCCCCTCTCTTTGATCTTAGTTTGTTTCACCTATTTCTTCATCTGAAAGTCTCAGCCTCGACTGAAAGCCCAGTGTTTTTTTGGCTGGGCTCATATGGAAAAATTAAACATGCTGCATTTTGGATTTTCACTTACTGGAACACTTGGAAAAGCAAGGCCATAGCCTGCATTTCTCAAACAGACAGTGCTAGGAGTTATGCCCAAGTAAAGAGTAAAAGGACAGATTATAAAAAATAGCTCCTGACTAGAGCTTAAAAAGCACCAGAATTTTGATTCTGTGGAACATTCAGAAATTTCAAAAATGGCTTTAGTTCCAAATCAGAACAAAACAAACATTTCCTAATGATCAGTTGTTTCAAAACGAAAAAATTTGAAATGTTTCACTCTGATAAGATCCTTAGGGGAGTGCTTCATATTGATTTTCCTTAAATGTTGTTGAAATTCAAGCAAAAAGTTTCAATTCTGATGTAACCGCCAAACCCGTCGATTGTAAAATTTCTAACCAGCTTTTCTTCTCACAGTGCAAACAACTGCACCTTGAGCACTGATGGAGCTGAGTCACTTACCTCCCAAAGGGCTGTGTTGACAAAAGGTGCGTGAGAGGAAATTATAACTAAGCATCTTATCCAGTAGTTAGTGTCACCAGGGCAAGTTTTCAGAATGAATGAGAAAGGAAACTTGGTGACGTTAATTATTTAATATCTGTAAAAGGCTTTGAAAGTAGGAAGCTCTGTGAGAGATCTGTGTAAGCTGGGAAGCTTGTCTCTTTTACCCACAGTAGCTGTTACAATAAAAGATATTACCTCACCCACCTTTTCTTGCTAATAAGTTACAACAACACTGCATAGAATTATTATATCATTGCTCCCTGCAAAGGAAAGAGCTAACACTTTCAGATCTGTGCACATACTATCTGACACATTACCAGCCTAATTTATCTTTCCTTTCATTGGTGTTCCTAGAGAGGACTGTTAATATGTGTTATATCAGTGGTCCCCAACACGGTGCCTGCAGGTGCCATGGCACCCGCCGGGGCATTTATATGCGCCCACCTAGTGACCAGGGCTAGCCCGAGCCATTCTTGGGCCCCGGGCCCTGGGCGCCTGGTGCATACGTGGCCCACGCCCCGGGCACGCAGCACATGTGCGGTGCCTCCCCCAGGCACATGGCGCATGTGCAGTGCCTCCACCAGGCACATGGCGGCCCCACCCCCAAGCGCCCAGCAGCCCCAAAAGGTTGGGGACCACTGTGTTATATGATTGAAATATTAGGTACAGGTGTTTATAGAGAGAGTATGCATATTTAAAATAAATCATAAGAAGGAATAATCAAATTACAGAAATCTCTTGGTGCCACTGTTGACTACCATTATGTTCTTTGATAGCTAAGAAAATACCACACTGATCTTGCCTTAATTCGTGCAAGAGAATCTGACTCATCTGTCCTGTCACAGATTTTGGTAAGGTCTGGTCTGCAGATGTATTGTCATCCTGCAAGAAGATGATAAAATTCTCTTAGATCTCAAAGGTAGACACTGTGGTATTTAGCAGATAGCGTTAGTGTGGCAGTAGGTCTTTTTTATGGGGTCAGATGTACCTGTGCTACTTGCTTTGTGAGGCATGAGAGCATAACCATAATGTTGAGGATTTAAGCTAAGGTAGGAATACACTGGCCTCAAAGACAAGCACTTTTAATGATCTGGTTCATGGAGAATCTGGAGTCGGTTTGGATTGTGAAGAAAGTGAATAATGAACATAAGAAGGGCCGTACTGGGTCAGACCAAAGGTCAATCTAGCCCAGTATCCTGTCTGCCGACAGTGGCCAGCACCAGGTGCCCCAGAGCGGGTGGACCGAAGACAATGATCAAGCGATTTGTCTCCTGCCATCCTTCTCCAGCCTCTGACAAACAGAAGCCAGGGACACTATTTCTATCCCCTGGCTAATAGCCTTTTATGGACCTAACCTCCATGAAATTATCTAGCTTCTCTTTAAACTCTGTTATAGCCCTAGTCTTTACAGCCTCCTCTGGCAAGGAGTTCCACAGGTTGAAAATGTTATTTACTTGTTCCCATAACATAAGAACTAGGGGGTCACCAAATGAAATTAACAGACTTAATACAAACAAAAGGAACTATGTATTCATGTAACGCACAGTCAAGCTGTGGAACTCCTTGCCAGAGGATGTTGTGAAGACCAGGACTTTAACAGGGTTCAAAAAAGAACTAGACAAATTCATGAAGGATCAGTCTATCAATGGTTATCAGCCAGGATGGGTAGGAATGGTGTCCCTAGCCTCTCCCGTTAGTCAGGGTAGGGTTCACATGATGATTCCCTGTTCTGATCATTCCCTCTGGGGCACCTGGCATTGGCCACTGTGGGCTAACAGGACACTGGGCTAGATGGACCTTTAGTCTGACCCAGTCTGGCCGGTCTTATGGTAGCTCATATTACTTATCCTGTGCTCAAGAGAGACCATTTGAAAGCAATTTGTTGTATATACCTGAGGTTAAAATTAAAAAGCTGGCTAATGAAGAGAGAAAAAGCCCCAAATCTGCTTTCCAATATTTCACTGGCTTCCGTGCAGCTGCCCCATTAACAGCGATTTCAGTAAAAGCAACGAGGAGTCATTTGGCACCTTGAAGTCTAAGGGTACGTCTACACTAGCCTCCTAGTTTGAACTAGGGAGGCTAATGAGGGTGACCGAAATTATAAATGAAGCATGGGATTTAAATAGCCCATGCTTCATTAGCACGTTCCCGGCCGGTCACCATTTTGGAAATTGACTAGCCCGGAGTAACTGCCCACATCTACACGCGGCAGTGAAACGGGAGTTCGAAGTAAAGCCCTAACTCGAATTAGCTGTTATTCCTCGTGGAATGAGGTTTAACAGCTAATTCGAGTTAAGGGCTTTACTTCGAATTCCCGTTTCACTGCTGCGTGTAGACGCGGGCAGTTATTCCGGGCTAGTCAGTTTCCAAAATGGCGACTGCCCAGGAACATGCTAATGAAGCGCGGGATATTTAAATCCCTCGCTTCATTTGCAATTTCAGTAACCCTCGTTAGCCTCCCTAGTTCGAACTAGGGGGCTAGTATAGACGTACCCTAATAGATTTATTTAGGCATAAGCCTTTGCGGGTAAAACCACTTTGTCAGATGCATTCCACAAAAGCCTATGCCCAAATACAACTGTTTGTCTCTCAGTTACTATAGGACTCCTCATTGTTTTTGCAGATACACATTAACCTGACTACACCTCTGAGAGACTTCAGTGGATTTCTAGCTACTTACCCAGGACTGCAATTGGTCCATATATGTTCATGCCATTCTTTACTATCATTTGAAATCTATAGATCGAGTAGGCATAAATGGAACACAATTTGGCACACATACTGTACAGCAATTAAAGAGCTGTTAAGAAAGAATAAGCCATTATATCAAAAAGAGGAACAAAATAAAAACTGCAGAAGAAAATTTCTACAGCAACCACAAAACTGAAATGACAAATCAATGGCAGAAAAGCTCAGCAACTTAAAATAGAAAAGAAGGAAATGCCAAACAATTAGTCATTTCAAAGTGATTCGATAGCATAAAAGAAGGAAAGAAATAAGTGATTAATTCTTGGAGAAGTAACTTCCACATTTACTATTTCTAAATAGTTCCTGAAATATCATATGGTTCTTTCTTGTTACTTAGCAGTGTGTATATATACATATATATGCACAAAATCACTGGGAGAAAAAGACACTGACAGAAGAAGAGAGACGGAATTTAAACATTTATTGTCAAAATATTTTTACTTTTTCATCAATGATTTTTAACATCAGTAAGTTAATACCTACAATTACTTCCAAGTTTTTGTTACTTTTGGTTAATTTTCCTTTCATGTTATCTGATAATGAGTGGCAATGAGAATCCTATATTACTCACAAATGCCAACAATGGTCAAGTTTTCTGTAACTGTGCATTTGGATCACTTTATTATAACAAGGAAAGGGAGGAATAAGTCTCCTATGCTAGCAACCCTAACACTTTCACCTGTACACTGCAGAAACTGGATGTTTCATGTGCAATAAACAATATCATGTTATTAATATTGGGTATCTATGTTATGGCCATACAGCTGCTATTACACTGGTCTACAATTTTTTAGAAGTTGTCTGCTTCAGAGATAAAATGTGCTATTTATTATGTATGTTGATGTGCTGAATTCAAATATGACAATTAAAACAACCGATTGACTACTGTTTCCAAGATATTTAAGTTTTTACATTTTACGTCTATATATATTGTGTAGATAGTAGAGTTTTAACCATAAATTGTAAACCTAGGTCTTTTCATGTGTTTATGGTTGCTTTACATGATAATATTTCACCTGTCCTGTTTATGTAACACTTTAAAAATCAGCAAAAGGGTTATATAAATAACATTTTTTATGAAACAAAAGGCAAAAAACTATTATGTACATAGTTTAGTCCTATTCAGTGTCTACTCGGTGCTTCTTGGCTTGTCTCTTGTATTCATTAAATGGAGCCTCTCTTGTCACTGTCCAGCAATAGTCTGCAAGCATTGATGGGCTCCATTTGCCCTGATAGCGTTTCTCCGTTGTTGCAATGTCCTGGTGAAATCGCTCACCATGCTTGTCACTCACTGCTCCGCAGTTCAGTGGAAAAAAATCTAGATGAGAATGCAAAAAATGTATCTTTAGTGACATGTTGCAACCAAGGCTTTTGTATGCCTTGAGGAGGTTTTCCACCAACAACCTGTAGTTGTCTGCCTTGTTGTTTCCGAGAAAATGTATTGCCACTAACTGGAAGGCTTTTCATGCTGTCTTTTCCTTGCCACACAGTGCATGGTCAAATGCATCATCTCGAAGAAGTTCACGAATCTGAGGACCAACAAAGACACCTTCCTTTATCTTAGCTTCACTTAACCTTAGAAATTTTCCACGGAGGTACTTGAAAGCTGCTTGTGTTTTGTCCATGGCCTTGACAAAGTTCTTCATCAGACCCAGCTTCATGTGTAAGGGGGTAACAAAATCTTCCTTGATTCAAGTGGTGGATGCTGAACACTTTTCCTCCCAGGCTCCAATGACTGTCGGAGTGGCCAATCTATCTTGATGTAATGGGAATCTCTTGCATGACTATCCCATTCGCAGAGAAAACAGCAGTACTTTGTGTATCCAGTCTGCAGACCAAGAAAGAGAGCAACAACCTTCAAATCGCCACAAAGCTACCACTGATGTTGATTTTAGTTTATGCACCTCAAAAGTTGTTTCAAATAGCAATGTATATACATTTTTATTTGCATAATGCTTTATTTCATTCTGTGAAATGTGAGTTTTAATTGTATAGTACATGAACAAATGTATATACTTACTGCTTGTATAAGATATATTCTATACAAAAAATGCTCCTACAGAGTGTTTTCATTTTTGCTAAGTGTCACATCAACTTATTTTGCTAAGGTTTTCTAAACCCTTTACTTCACTTTAGTTACATTTGTAGACCTACAGTTCACATATTTTATTATCAGGGTCTAAATCTTCATCTATTGTGTAGCCATGGGGGCCAACAGCCTTGCCAGACCTCTGGGTAAGGAGGAGAGACCTTGCTCTGCACTCCAGAAAGGAATGGAGCCTGAGGCAGAATAGGCAGGGCTGAGGACAGCTAGTCTTCTGCACTATACTGAGAGCACCACACCTAGCTCCCTTCATTTAAAGCTGATGCCATCAGAGACACTGCGTGATGTTAATACCTATTCAGACAACTTCTCTACATATGCAATTAATTAAATAATGAAACATAGTACTTCAAACTATAATAGTACTTTGCACTTCTATATCAATTTTCATTCTAAAATCTCAAAGCACTTTATACATATTAACAAAGTTCCCCAACACCTCATCAAGGAAATATTTTATCCTAGTTTTAAAATTGGGTAAACTGTTCTGCAGAGAGTTTAAATAACTTGCTGACTGACATACAGCAAGTATTCACAAAGATTGAGTAGAACAACTCTCAGTTTGTGCTTTAATCACACATCCAACTTTCTTCCATACTATGAGTATAGTATAATTTAATATCAGCATTACTTAGACTTAGGTAAAAATTATAATGGACTCTGTGTTGCACTAATTGTTGAGAGATCCTTTTTATATTTCCAGGGCTACAGCCCACAATCATTTTTCATATGGAACATCCATTGACTTTGGTAGGTGTTATGTGTGCATGAGGAACGGAAGTTCAAACTCTACTTTTGCAGCGCACCGGTAACAAATTTCCAGTAGAAGGGGCATTTAGATGTGAATGTGATCTTGTCTTATGCCTCAGTGGGGTTTTCTTCCTACTGCTGTTCTGGTGTGTGGGTTTTGATAATAATAAATCAGATCCCTTTGAGTAAGAAAAGGTCATTACAAAAATCCTGCAAAACCAAAGGAAAAGGAGGTGGGCAAAAGCTACTTTTTCAGGAAGATTCATCATCAGAAGATCATAGTGGCGTTCAGAAATCTTAAGACCCAGATATCTTATTTTCCTGTCCCCCATCCACAAATAGGATGCGTCAGCTGACAAAGAGGCTATGTCTACACTGGCACCTTTTTCCGGAAATGCTTAAAACGGAACAGTTTTCCATTATAAGTATTTCCGGAAAAAGAGCGTCTACATTGGCAGAATGCTTTTCCGGAAAAGCGTCCGTGGCCAATGTAGACGCGCTTTTCTGGAAAAAAGCCCCGATCGTCATTTTTGCAATCTGGGCTTTTTTGCGGAAAAGACTACTGTGCTGTCTACACTGGCCCTTTTCCGGAACAGTTTTCCGGAAAAAGGACTTTTGCCCGAGCGGGAGCAGCATAGTTTTTCCAGAAAAGCAGCTGATTTCTTACAGTAAATCGTCACTGCTTTTCCGGAAATTCAAGGGGCCAGTGTAGACAGCTCGCAGCTTATTCCGGAAAAGCGGCTGCTTTTCCGGAATAAGTGGCCCAGTGTAGACACAGCCTTAGATTGTTTGGCCACCTCAGGATCAGAGTGTTGTCACTGTGGCTAAGGAATTCACTTCTGCTAGAGATCAGGCTAAACCCTAATTTGACCACCTCCAGAGTGTGGTGAAAGATTCACCTATTCACACAGATCAAGTGATAAGTGTCCCTGACAATGCTTTGCTGAAAGTTACCTAGTGGGATATGGTCATTATAAGGATCTGCTATAATGAAGGGAGGTGAATAGTGTTCTCAAGCAGGACAGAAAGAGATTTCACTTAATTTTGAGGGCCCATAGATATTATGGTGAGAAAACGATGAAAAATGTTACCTCAAAAGACAGCTTAACGTTTATTTCCATGGTTGAAAAAAACCGTGAAACTGAAAAATTGCAGATGCACTGCTCAGTATTAACAGAATCAAGTTCTGTACAGAAGCAGAACCAAACATCTCTTGAGGATAAATATACCTAAAATGTCATAGTCTGATTTATTACAAGCTTTGATACAGTTTTCTAGAGGAAAAGAGCAACCCCTCTAGAAAAGGAAATTTCCTTCCTCAGGCAAAAAAAAAAAATACTGCCAGCAAATATCACAACTTCTTCATGGAGTGTCAGGACAAAGAAGTGATAGAAATGTGGCCGTGTTAGTCTGGTGTAGCTGAGACAAAATACAGGACTATGTAGCACTTTAAAGAATAACAAGATGGTTTATTAGATGATGAGCTTTCGTGGGCCAGACCCAGCTTGTTAGTCTTTAAAGTGCTACGTAGTCCTGTATTATGTCTCAGGACAAAGAAGATAGCTAATCTAAATACCTGTGAGCTAAATAATGCTCTGTAATGTTTTATAATCAGTAGATGGTGCTGTTGTTTAAATGGTAGCTCAGCTACTCCTGTAGCTACTCCATTTCTATCACTATTCTACTCCTGTTGTGAGAGTCAAAGTCAGCCAAGGGGCTAGGTCTGTGTGTGCATGTTTTCCTAGCAGGCTGAGAGTAATTTGTATTATGCAAGAGTGAGGGAGTCAGTGTCAGCTTTAAGCACAAACAACAGCAATTTCTGTACTACGCCTGTTTTGCGCAAAAAATATGCAAGTGAGGCGAAGCGTGGAATATCGCCGTGCCTTATTTGCATAATTAATGAGGCTCCGTTTTTGCACAAGAGCCGTGTAGATGGCTCCTTTTTGCGCAAAAGCCTCTTGCGTAGAAACAGAACCTCATTAATTATGCAAATGAGGCACGGCGATATTCCACACTTTCTCTCATTTGCATATTTTTTGCGCAAAACGGGAGCAGTACAGACATAGTGCTTTGGGGTGCCACAGCATCACTGTCCCTGGGCCAGGGAATCTGGAAGAGAAGGCATCTCTGCTGACTGATCCTTTGGCCATCTTGAGGCCTGTCTCTTATTTAGGGCCTGCAAACTATGAAGTCACCCTTGGTGGGAGGATTCATGTGCATGTGAACAAGTCTCAAGAGAATGGTGAGTGGAAATCTGCAGACGAGTTGTTCCTGTTTCTCCGGGCCTTCCTGCTCCGTGTTTCCATGTACTCAAAACTTAAGGAATGTCCCCCTAATTTTTAACCCTGGTTGTCCTTTTTTGTTTCTTTTAAATAGTGGCAAGACAAGAGTATGAAAACAGGCCTATACTTAGGAATTTCTGTGTGTGTGTGTGTGTGTGTGTGTGTGTGCGCGTGTTTTTTTTGCAAATGTGGACTGCAAGGGTGCGAATGCACCCCCCCCTCCAAAATTTCCCATCGCTGGCCTCATTCCTGACGGAGGAAGAGAATTAGCCACCGCCTTCTCCCGCCCAGCTGGACCTTAGGGGAGGGAGGCTCAGATAGCATGCGGCTCCTGTTTTACCCCGGCGGAGAGAGCATGCTTACTTGGAGGTCATTGGGGAGGGGGCGTGTTTGCACCCTTCACACACCCCCTGCATATGGACCTGGAATACTGCAGTGCAGGTAGAAACGAGGATGCACACCAGCTCTCGTGGAGCTTTGCTGCTACCACTGAAACACATACAGATCCCATATGATCTGAGGAAGTGGGTCTGGCCCATGAAAGCTCATCACCTAATAAGCCATCTTGTTAGTTTTTAAAGTGCTGCATAGTCCTGTCTTTTGTTACATACAGCCTTGACTATGTAAGCCCGACAGGTGGAACCAAACTTGGGACTTCAGGGCTGTGTCTAGACTGGCAAGTTTTTCTGCAAAATCATCTGATTTTGCGGAAAAACTTGCCAGCTGTCTACACTGTCCGCTTGAATTTCCGGAAAAGCACTGACGATCTCCTGTAAAATCATCAGTGCTTTTCCGGAAATACTATGCTGCTCCTCTTCGGGCAAAAGTCTTTTTCCGAAAGACTTTTGCGTGAAAGGGCCAGTGTAGACAGCATAGTATTGTTTTCCGCAAAAAAGCCCCGATCGCAAAAATGGCGATCGGGGCTTTTTTGCGGAAAACTGCGTCTAGATTGGCCATGGACGCTTTTCTGCAAAAAGTGCTTTTGCGGAAAAGCATCCTGCCAATCTAGACGTGCTTTTCTGAAAATGCTTTTAACGGAAAACTTTTCCGTTAAAAGCATTGCTGGAAATTCATGCCAGTCTAGACGTAGCCCAGGAGTTTAGCACATGAATCTCTACTGCATGAGCTAAAAGCCAGCTGGCTGTTAGCTAAGGCTATAGAGCAGACTCATTATTCACTCTCTATGTGGTCTCAGTGCCACTAGATGGAACCGTGCACCCCACCCAAAAGGTGTATTGGTTACCACTACATACAATCAGAAGCACAAATGTGAAAGAATCTTAGATTGATCTCTCTGTTAAATATACCATTTCCTTGCAGGCTACAGAATCGTTGGCAGGAGGGCAAAAGGATGAACACACTTAAAAACCAAGTGCATGTTATTTGTGTTGTAGGATAGTCTTTCATCTCTCCCTACTCCCCACTCTAAACTGATGTGTCATTTTGTTGTGTGCTGTTAATCAGTAGCTGGTTCTTATGATAGAATTGCTGCACCTCAGTAGTGGGTGGCATCATTTCATATGGTAAGTAAATTTTGTAGAGCACTTGGGATCATTTTGGATGGAAAATACTGTCAAAGTGCATAATATTGTCTTTATTATTTTTGTTGTAATTCAGCAGACTTTATAATATGGCACCAGGTTGACTGGAAAAATGAGCGAAGCAGCCTGTCATGTTAGCATCCGAAAGCTTGGCACGTTGCTCCACTCATTGCTGTTCATTGAAAAATTAATGCTAATCCTCACTGGGTTCAGTCCAAGAAATCTTGTCAATGAACTGAACAATCTTTTTTTTAATGTTGCTTGGTGCTCGTCTCTTTCAAGAAGTGTTAGATAGAGAATAGATGAGTGGCCATCTTCAATACAACTCCATGGACATTGTAACTTCGTTAAAGTAGAAAAGGGCAATGGAGCTAGAGGAAAAGAAATAGCTGAAAATCAATATTCCTATTACCTACATATTTCCTAAGACAGAGAACAATAGCAACAATTAATAAAACACTAAACATATCCTTTTAATCTCAAGTTAACTAATTAGTCCTTACAGAATTCTTGTGAGGTAGATAACTAAGCCCTGGTCTATACTAGGGAGTTATTTCTAAATAATAAGCGGAACGTCCACACTACCAAGCCCGTTATTTTGAAATAACAGGCTGGTAATTTCGAAATCTGTACTCCTGCTTTCCTTGGGGGATAACACTTATTTCAAAATAGTTATTTTGAAATAGCATTAGTGTGGGCGCTTCACTGTTGCTATTTTGAAGTAATTACTTCCCAGAGTAATTTGAAGTAATTACTCCCCAGTATTTCCTGGGGCTCTAAGCCAAGATAGCATGCCCACAATAATGGATTCTGCCTCAGACTAATTTTGAGGCTCCCCCATAGCAGGGACACACTATTTCGATTTTGTTATTTCAGGATTTATTATTTCAAAGTTAGTTATTTTGAAATAATTTCCTAATGTAGACGTGCCCTAAGTGTTGTTATTCCTATTTTCACATTAATAACCTCATGCTTCAAGAGGGAATGCAAAATTTACAAGAAGATAAGAAAATCCTTTATTTTATCCATCCTGAATATATTTCTCAATCCCTTATGAAATCATAATTTCTGTGTATATTCTGAGCTTGGGTTACATTTCCTTTTGTCTCTGTGTCTCTGCTATGAACATTTTCCTAATACAGGCAGTCCCCGGGTTACATGGATCCGACTTACATCGGATCCCTACTTAGAAATGGGGTGAGGCAACTCCGCACTAGCTGCGTCCCCCCCCCCTCAGCAGACCGCCGAGACGCGCTGCGGTCCCGCCGCCCGCGTCCTCCGCGGCGAGAAAAGCCACACTAATGCTAAGAATCATAGAATCATATAATATTAGAACTGGAAGGGACACTGAGAGGTCAAGATCAGTTCCCTGTCCTCATGGTAGGTCTGAATGGGTGAGGAGGAACTTGTGCCTGAGGAATCAAAACTGTACAGGAGACCCCCGACTTGCGACCAAAACCAACAGCGATTGCTATTAGCATAGTGGCTGTGTGGTTTGGACTCCCAATTTTTATTTGTGACTTTGCTGTAGATTTGCTGTACAGGAGACCCCCGACTTGCGACCACCTGAGTTCCAACCCCCAAGACTTACAACCATTTTTGTAAGTGAGAAAGGGACTGGAACCCCCTGACTTATGTCTTCAGCCCACATTTACGACAGTGCCTATTGTAAATGAGGATTTGAGTTGCTGTAACCCCCTGACTTATGTCTTCAGCCCGCATTTACAACAGCGCCTATTGTGAATGAGGATTTGAGTTACGATGCCCCCAACTTGCGATGCTTCCCGCAGAACCAATGGTGTCGCAAGTCGGGGTCCTCCTGTATTACCTTGGGCAAATCATTTAACTTCTCTGTGTTTTACTCTGTTCATCTGCATAACTGATATAAAATTACCTGCCTACCTCACAGAGGTTTTGTGAGGCTTAATTAGATACTGTTTGTAAAGCACCTTGAGCTTTTTAAGTGAAAGAGGTTACAGAAATTCACAGAATTATTCTGATTGGTTTTGCTGTTTTTTCTGTGCAAATCTTGATAAATAAAGAAACCATCTGCTGATGGAGATTTGACTATGTCTAATTGAAGGACCCGTTTACAGGGTGAGGAGGGATGTGACTGTTCACTAGAACAGATTGGCAAGACCAGGCCTTCACTGCGGGGGGAAGATTGGCTTAAGGTATGCAACTCCAGTTACGTAAATAATGTAGCTGGAGTCAATGTACGTTAAGCCAAGCTTGGCACCATCTCCACAGTGGGAGGTCCACAGGAGAAATGCTCCTGTTGACTTCTCTTACTCATCATGAGGAATACCGCCACCGATAGGGGGGGCCCTCAGCATTCGATTTAGTGGGTCTTTACTAGGCCAGCTAAATTGAACCCGGGAAGTTTGATTACCAGAGCATTGAGTCTCTAGTAAGTGGAGCCGTGGCCTAAGAGTAGGAATCCTGGGCCCAACTCCAAGATCTGTCACTGGTTTTCTTTGTGTCTTTGTGTCACTTAATTTCTCTGTGCTTTCTACAAAAGGGAATTAATTATTGCTTCCTTGCTTAACAGGGTTGTTGAGAGGATTACTGCATGTTTTTAAAAGCACGAGATCCTTGAATGTGTCTAGCTATAAAGTATATTATTATAGCAGGGGGATGTGTTCACTGTGGAGTAAAGCAGAAAAATATAATCGCCTTTTTCCGGAGTAAGGTGTAAATAAAACAATTGTGTTACTTTTTCAGAGAGATCAAAGCATGACACCTCAGCATGTAAAAGAGGAACTCCAGGAACTGAACTCCTTGCAAGTAATACTGTTGGTTGGTTGTATCATTAGCAATGTGACAGTCAGCAGATCTCTGCAGAAAGAATTTAGTTGTTTGGCTTATTTGAAAGCCTTTTGTTTCAAGAGGTCATTAAATATTGCTCTAGGGGATTGGTTCTCTTCTGTCTTGGAAGCCTGCAGCATGTATTTCTTGAAGAAGGGATACAAGCAGTGTATTTGGGAGTTCAGTTGTTTTCAATTCTATTTATATTTATATCCAATGTGAAATGCTTGGCCACCTCACCCAATTTCCATTTGCACTCTCCCTTGCTTTTTAGCAAGAAGAACGTTCTGAACCAATCAGCCTTCAAAGGAGGCACGGAGCCCTGCAAAAAAGGCACGACTCTTTTCACAGCTCAGGAATAAATGTATGAAACGTTTAATTGCCATGGGGCGTATTTGAACTTTGGCCCTGTGGAGCTTAGTAAAGGAGCCTCTACTACTTGCGCTAAAAGCCAGCTAGCTTTTAGCTCAGGCTGTAGAGCTCCCTTGTTCTTATCTCTCACTATAAGTAGTCTCTGTGCCACTACGTGGGACAGTGACTTACACTGTAGCATCTTTGCGGAAGAGGAAATGCAAATGAAGCACTTCACCCCTGCTCCCAACCTCCTTCCAGTGAGAGAGAGCTGGGGTTGTCCTCATGTAGACAAGGCCATTTTGCGCAACCCCCCCCCTTTTGCGCAAGATCCTGTATACCTCCTTTTTTGAGGGATAAGGGATCTTGCGCAAAAGTAAACTCCCCTCTCTCCACTGGGGTAGTTCTTCTCTTTGGGGTTCAGGTACTGTAACATGTTGTGAGGAAGGTTTCTCCTGCCTCTTCCTTGATGTAAATGTTCTCTGGATAAGCAGGAATCTTCAGTCTTCACATGTTTTAATGCCACATCTTTCACAAATACTGGCACATACTTTAAATAGCCAAAACCACAAGGAGTCTGGTGGCACCTTAAAGACTAACACATGTATTATGGCATGAGCTTTCATGAGTTGCAACTCGTGAAAGCTCATGCTGTAATAAATGTGTTAGTCTTTATGGTGCCACCAGACTCCTTGTTGTTTTTGATGAAATAGACTAACACAGCTAGCTCTGCAATCTTTACAAAACCCTTCATTCAAAAACTATACATGAATTTTAAAACAAAGAAACAAATAATCTACCACATATCTGAGAGAGCTTGTGCATCTGTCCAGCCATCCGTCTGTGAGTCCATTTGTTCAAGAATTCCTAAATGGTAAGAATGAGGACCACCAAATTTAGTATATAGCTTCCTCTTCTAATTTAATGCAAGGTCAGGTTTTGGTTATGCCTTGAAATTGGGATGTGTGTGGAATGTGATTGTTTCTCATCAAACAGAAAGGGAAGGGTGTGATAGCAGGGACAGTTATACTCATGAATGTCTGGGGCGGGGGCAGTGAACATAAGGGACAGTTATATCCAGAATGACTACAAGGAGGCAGCAAGCGGTCCAGCCCTGGGGAGCAGCCACAGGCTGGCAACATGACTCATACCACTCCAGCCTGTCCCAGGGAGCAGCCATTGGCTAGGCCACATGGGCCCC